GCGGTAAATTGCAGGTTTACGGGGACTAGTTGGACATACTCGAAGTGAATCAATGGGCAGCAGTGGGAAGCAAAAAGTTGTTACATGGACCCCAGTAAACAAGCCGCTGAAACGTGTTCAGGTTTTTCATTTTTTTTTTGCATCAATTTTTGTTTAAAAATTATACATCAGGCAGATGGGACACTCAGGGATGTAGAGCGCCGAGATCATAGGAGGATGTTGCCCGTCCAAGTGGTTGTTAATGAACTTAAATGTATCCTCCTGGCATGCGCGGCACTCGCGTACGGTAGCGCCAAATTTTTTCGACACAGGCTCAAAACTCGGTTATCTTAGAAGCTAGAACGCTGTCACTTGTAATTTTCTCCATCCAAAAATCGGTATCCGAGAACGGGAAAAATGAGCATCGATAGGTTGGCGAGTCACTTTACACCTCTTTTTTTGGACTCTCGAATTCATTTTGCACGCAACTCGCTCCGTTACTATCAAAGTGCGTGACTGGAGGAGAGCGCTTAAAAATAATTTGAATAATGCCCAATATATTCCAGTATGTCATTTCGGGTTTTCTTACTACGAGCCCTGCCACTTCCCAGGCATCATAATGCGCTTTTTGATAAATCTACCACAGAATTTATAGAGAAATATCGATTTGTTAAATCAGCTTGTTACTTTTCTGATTGTCGAGTTACCTGAACGTTGAACTAAAGTCATGGACCAAGGCATTCCGCTAGGGAACCGATTTTTATCATTATTGCAAAAACTACAAAAAGATTGAATTTTTCTAAATTTCCAGCTCGTGAGTTCATAATTTCCAAAATATTATATTCGCCGAGACTTGTTGAGATCATGGATCAGAGCACAGCGGAGTTTAAAAACTGATTTCAAATTATTTGTTCCCGGCCAAAAAGAATCGCTCAAAAAGTTCCCTTGATTCTCAGAAACGAAATTGTTCTAAGTTGAATCTGAGGTTGCAAGTCGCGATACAGAAGGAAACACTTGTTAATTGAGGCTAATTTGCCCATACGTGCAGCAGCAGCGTTCGCTGAAGACCGCGGCGGTGAACTTCAGCAATTGCCTTATCATAACGGAAGGGTACTATAATCCTTCTTATCATAGCGGAAAGGCAAGATAATCCATGTCTACAACGTATAATCAGAAATGCTTAATAATTCAGATCGAAAGTTGTCCGGTGGAATCGGTGTACGATCTTCGGGAAGACGGGGATTCTCGTGATGTTTATGATGATGCTACCGCATTTCGACGACCGCGCTCTAATAGTTCCGTTCGTGACTTCGTTTTTTTTCCCTCCATCTAAGTAAAATTTTGTTTGTTTTACTATAAAACCACCTTAACAGTCATGCTTATTCTGTTGTTAAGGTACTGCCAAGCAATCTGATGTTGACCGAAACATTCCAATTCAGCTTGTCGCTTTCTATTTTTTCACTGTAATTTATTAGTTACGAAAAATTAAACCTTAATCTCATGCCTTATGCAGGGTCCTCTTTTGTGCATGCTTCCGTTTTTGCTTGCTCAAATTTTATTTTGTTTTTCACGAGAGTCCTTTTCCAGGATTTTCTCATTCTGCGGAAGACATCGAGACCGATATCTGTGGATGTGGTTGGCCTTGTCGGTTCGTTTTTTCCATTAAGTTAATTGACTATCGCGTCCAGAAGCCTGGAATTTCTGTGCACTCGCAAGGAGTAGTATTTGTGAATTTTTTACAAACACACACAATTCTGGCGCATAGAGCCGAATGACTAATTGTATTGAGATGCGCAGCTGTTCTTTTCAGATGATAATCTGGATCCGTACAAGCAGTACATGAAGGTGGTCGACTGCTATGAGCTGGCGCCGCATGCCGGTTCCGTTGTTCTTCTGGATGGCAAAGTAAAGGTACGCGACGTATTCGGGAAGCATCCAAACCCTTCAAAGCTCCGAAAATTTTCTTTTCGGCAGAAGTATTTTTCATGCAAAATAGTATACAGATGCTTAGATTCTTAGTCTCGAAAAAATTGCCTGCAGAGCATGATTTTTTTTCTCAAATTTTGGCAAAATTGATATTTTCCTCATCGAATTCAACTTTTGGGCTACAACCCTATTCCTTGTAAAGTAAAATTTGATGGTCTGGGTTTACTTTCCCTGGTTCAGAATAGACTAAGAAGGAGAGAAGAGAAGAGGGCTGGTGATTGATGGGATCGAAATTTTCCGCACATGGTAGAAAGTACATCTTCCTTCTTCCAATACAGCTTTCTACTTGATTTACAATCACATTATATTCAATCGCATACTTGCATAAACACTTGTCATGCGCTTGGTACGTGAGAAGCGAAACACAAAAGATACGAAAGCATACTGATTTGCTATTATTTGACTCGGAGCGCCTGAAATATCTGGGGAATAGCTGTTAATTCATGTTTTTAAAACATCATTTCTGCACTTGGCAACTTTCTGTCGTAATTCGAGATGTCGTAGCGGTATTTAAAAAATGCCAAAAATAATCTGTGAGAATTAGATTTTGCTCTCTAATGTGGATTATCCCAATTCAATTATTCAGTTTAAATTTCAATTTCTTACTCGGTCGGATTTCACTCCCATCCGGTAATTTCGGTTTTCTTTGCTCATTTTCGGGGTTCAGCTCCACCTCGCTATTCCTATTCAAAAGCCGTATTTTCAGTTGCAAAAGGCATTCAAAGTGCTGATCGAATGGGGCGTTGGATCGGCGGTTGTCTGGAGCAGTAAGCTGCAGCGTGTTACTTCTCTACTTTGCCTTACCGATTTCCTCAACACGCTGCTCTCGGATTCGAGCGAAGAATCGACGCCGGTCGAGCAAGCAGTTTCATCCAATCAACTGGTTTGGCTCAGTGCTTCATGCAAGTTTGTCTTTTATTTGTCATCCATCATCAGTAGACAGATTTCTTGGTTTGAAAAAATACCTGCTTATTGTTGTAGTTGCTCGTAAAATCGTTGCCTTCTAATAGTTGACTGTGTTGGTAAACGTCGCCGCCTCCAAGACGCTGAATTGTTTGAGCGTTATCTGTTTGTGCCAAGGTATTTCCAAGTATTATTATTTGATTCTAAAGCACTTATCTAACTTATATTGACTATAATAAGCAATTATCTATAGTAACAATTATCATAATAATATTCATGATAATAATAAGGTCTATGATAATAACAAACATTTGTCTAAAAAACGGTACGCAGAAGTGGACGAGGGGAAGGAGGAAGGAAACAACACTGGTACTTTGAGAAATTGGCACTCTGTATGCTTTCCAAGATTGGTGTGATCAAAATATCTAGCAAGACTATTTAAAAATTACGTATTCTAATGGATCAAGTAAGCTGATTGTAAGTAAATATCAGGTGATAAATAAAATAAAATGTTGAAAAAATTTTTTTAATGTTGAAAAAAATTTTAATCATAAGAAACGTTTCGGTCCATTAAGTCGTATACATTTCTTACCATTACCACAATTGGACTTCGTCAGCATGACGACTGTGGTAACTAGTATGAATTTAATTAAAATTTAAATTGTTTTGTTAGAATGGATAGAAAAAGTAATGATAAGTTAAGTGGATAGTAAAGAAAAAGAGTGAGTGAAGTTGATATATGAAATATTACTGTAGAGGAGGTTGTTAAGTATGCAGTTTATCTCTTAGCTGTAAAAATAGACAGATCATCCGATCATTAGCCTGCTGCTTGGCTCTTGAAATTCCTTCCTTTCGTCCTAAGCCGGAAAAGAAAAAAAAGGTAGGAACAGATTTAGCCGTGTTGTATGTAATTGCGTTGACTTCCAAGAACTGACAAAAACATTTTTTTTTTAACAGAGATCTTCGCCTCCACTGATTTTACTGTTCAGTAGAATAAAACTAGGAGTTTAGATTGTTGGAAGCGTGCCATGAATTTTGCTCTAATCGAGTTCATCGAATAGTGATTTTTGATCAGGCTGGCGACGTCTTCTACCTTCTCACCATCAAACGAATCCTACAAGCCGTCCATAAACAGGTTTACTGTAAATAACATTTTTACAGGCTACACATCCATTCTAGAAAGCTCAAAACTATGGTACTGCAGAATAACTATAAACGTAATTATCTAAAAGTTTTTTGCCAGAAAAAGCTTTATCGAAATTTGTTTTGGTTGAAAGGAAACTCAGCCCAAACGGTAAGATAAAAGAACCAGTGCAAGGCCAACACAAAAATGCAAAATATAACCGCCTATCTACAAGGCGCTGTTTTGCATAAAACTTAGATAATGTTCATAGAGAAGAAAAAAACTTTGACTTTAAACTTCGGCTAAATTGAAAAATTTGAAAAGCATTAGACTTTTGCTGTTCCCAGTGATCCGTGCAATCTCTTGCTATACGTGCCCAGGTTACATTATTATAATTAATTACTTTCACTTGGTGTTTTGCTTGGTTTGTGTAATGCCAGCTGAAAGTAATTAATTACAATGATGTGATAGCGCTAACAAAATTTCTAGCATTTGTTGATTTGTTAGCCTTTTAAAATAAATTTCAGAATCGCTCGCTACCGTTTGCCTCGTGGCTGAATTGGGAGATCAAGAAATCACGAATCGGCACATGGAAGAATCTGCACACGGTACTTTCTCATTATACATTTTTGCGTATATGCAAATGCAGAAACGCGTATTATTATTTTAATCCAAGGAATTTCTCTTGCATTCCACTTTCTACGAGAAAATGGGTCGGGCGCACAAATATTTCCCACTTGCAAGGACTACTGAAGGAAATAAGATGAAACTTGTCTACTCTTACTTCACTTATCGATACAATTCAAACGATTGTGGACTGTCCTGCTTGAGCAGAAATGAGTGCAATCCCAGGAATGTTATTGCGCTTCCTGAGCACTAAAAAAGGCTTTTTTTGTTCTCGAGTTCTTCGTGCCTAAATATATCTCACACGTACAGGTTCGAGAAAACGATAGTTTGGAGACGGCAGCACGTAAAATGCTCGATTTCCGTATCTCAAGCGTTCCGATCCTGGACAGCGAGGACCGGCCTGTTGATGTGATCAGCAAAACGGACATCGCCTACGCTCTGGCCGACGTCAAAAATTTCAAAGTTTGTACTAAAAATATACCAAAAATACAAAGATCGCCAGGGCATCAAGGTGGATAATCCATGTCAGTGATATGACTGGAATACTGCCACATAGCTGGGCGCGAGTACACTAGGTCCTTTAACATATAAACATCAGCATACTTGTACTGCAGCTGTGCCGTGTACATGTACCAGTGCCCCATTTATGTGCTCTGTTTGTGCACGGGATAGTAAAGAAATGTGGGGTTTTCTGTATAAGATTGCAGATGGATGTGGGGTCTTCTGTACGAGATATCCAGAAACTGTGGGGTTCAGAATTTCCTGGACTGCATACCTTTCTTGTTAGTATCCATCACAGACATTCAATACGTATACGCCATCTTTTCGGGGGCGGCCCGAGTGCTCATTTTCTCGGAGTAATGAAAATATTTCCATGGGAAATATTCATTTTAGTGCCAAAAAAATTCGTTCGCGCGCCGCAATGCTAGGTTTTGCTCAACGGGAATTTTCCCTCAAAATCAGAAGTTTCGACCAGAAACACGCCTAACCAACAATCACACAACACGGCAATCGCTCGAACTTTTGATAGTTAAAATCCTAATTTTGTTGATATGTAGCTAAAATGCACAATACAACTATTACCGACCCTTACGACCTCATTAAAGCTTCGTTTCGACCTTCAAACCCCTCCTCAGGTGGTATTCTTCTGCACGCGTTCCATTCACTGACCACTGGGCACTAAAGGAGCACTGGTATCCTGGCCAACGATTTTCAACTTCTTCTGAGGTTGCGGTGATATTTTTTTCGATCTCCCAGAAAATTCAGTATTTTCGGAAATTAAGTGTTCCCGGAACTGCATGTTTCCGAATGTACTGGTACCTAGTGGAGGAAACCCGTCGCTTTGATATTGCCAATCATAGGCGAATTCATGACGGCCTCCTGAGGCTTCTACTGGCGACGACCCGGGGCGGGAAGAGGGGATTGGGTGGAGGGTGAGGCTCCTGGGGGGCGGGGACGACGAGGAGGTGCAGAAGAGAGTTCTTTTCAGGTTTAGTTTTAGACCCAGACTTTTGTAGCACTGGTACTTGTGCCACTAAAAAGCTTATCGCCCCTTAAACCGCCTACGTTGCCAGTGAAGAGATTGTCATTGTACGCATTTGCTTGCAGGAGCAATTTCGGAGGTTGACCACAGTTGACGCGGTCAGGAATCGACAACCGATTATATTCCCGTCCGAAACGGACACCGTTGGTCGGATTCTCGATTTCGCCTTGAGTCGCAAGAATTGCCGGTGTGTCTTCGTCATCGATGTTGCTAGCGGAAAACTTAGCGGTGCAATATCGCTCTCCGATTTTATCTCATATATCCTGTACCATCAACTTTCTTCACTTCCTTCTGACTGATTTACTTCACTTGGTTTTACTATCCCCCGTAGGGGAGCGGAGAGGCGAAAACGTATTTTGGTACTTTTTGGAACAGAGGCGCACCTCAACAACTCGGGCAGCTGACAAACCCAGCTTGTGCGGAACAGTGTTTTGTCATGTGATGATGGAACCTGGCGACAAAACCCCCTAGAATAAGCCCCGAAGGACGGGCATGGGGTCCAGGATATAAGGGAGGGACAAGGGATCCAGGATGAGAGGGGAAGCGCGGGAGCCGAGGAAGGGTCCGCGGAATTCAAATTTGCTGAATTTATATTCCGAGGGTAGCACATGCATATGAAAAGTTATATAATTTTGAAGTCGCCTTCGCTAACGCGATTAACATGGAGGAATTCCTCATTGCGACCTAGAGTTCATCTCGATATTGTACCTTCTGAACCACACAAGAAGTACCCCAAATCCCGCATAATGGTCCGGCCAAAACTTTTCACGAGTGCCACATATAATTGTTGTGGAATTTTAAAGATATAAACAGTGGATATCCCTGACCAGGAGACTTCAGAAGGGCCCGAAGGGCTTAAAATCGTCTATGTATTAACGTATACAGTTTGACGTTGCTGGCCCACCACCGTGGAAAGGAACACAGTCGAATTTTGATAATTCAGTGAAAACACCCAGAAGTGGCATTCAGATCTCACATATAGGCAAGCCTTATTGTGATTTGGTAGCCTGTCTGTGTTTCATCCCTCAACTTCATCGTAAATCTATCCAAAAAAAAAATCGAAGGCTCGAAGATCAGCATCTCGACATCAGCAGATTATGTCCAAGCAGTACATAATTCTCACCAGCATGTTAGCCGTAAATCTCACCGGATGTTGTTATATCAGAAAACTTTAAAACCAAACCCACAGGGCCTAGAAAACGGGGCCACACCGTCCCCCAAGTGCCTTAATGGTCGTTTTTATTACACTTGCTGTTACTGTTTTTTTCTTTTTTTTGCATACCCTCTCTCTCCTCAGATAATATCGAAAGCATTTTGCTCTTTTTTTAAATTGTTAATTATTGCGCGTTTTTGTTATGTGTCGCCAAAAATCACTTGTTATTTTTTATCAAATCTGTGAAAAAAAAGAGGAAAACATTAAAAGAGTTTTCTCTAACTGAGCAGCGTCTTGTGTATTCAGAATGTGCGATGACAGAGGAGACCTGACGATCGCTTGCGTAACTGAATTTTAGTACAACAATAATTCAGCGACAACTATCACCATCATCATCATCATTATCTAAATAACAGCACAAACGACGAGAGAAGGGATGTGAAAAAAAAAGCTACCAAAAAAAAATTTTTCCTGAAACTAGATAATTAACTGTATTGCCTTGACCCCAAATCGATGGGGAGCGGAAAGGGGGAAAAAACCCGCGACCGGTTCAGGGTGCACCGATACTGCTGGACAAAAACAAGCCCGACCCCGTAAACTGTAAAAAATCAAACTCATTACATAAAAATATAACAACAAAGCCATAGACTGATGAATTTTTTTCTGCTAAACCCGCAAAAAAAGGGCTAAATTCGGTAGACTAGAGGCTTACTGCGCGTTATGAGGCCATAAACTTAAAAAAAAAAAAGAAACTGCTGTCGTCATTCAAACGACCACACACACACACACATACGCACACTGCAGTACACCCAATATTTCAAATAACAAAAAAAAAAAAAAAA